AAGGAAACAGATAAGCAGGCCACCTTTCAAAGTTAAATGTTGAATTAATCATCTACTTAAAGACAAAGGTCTATAAAAGATTTGCAGGCTTATCTGCATTCCTCTGTTCTCCTTCACATGTGGAAATGCTCATTTATTTGGGGTTTCTTAAGCACAAAATTTTTAAAATGAGGGCAGGCCTCAACTGCTCTCCATCTGGGATGCCATTAGCCCCACATGCAGGGCAGCTCCAGGCACTCTGGTTATCTGGGGGGGCAGGCTTTCCAGTTCTGTGGCCCCCAAGGGAAAGCCCTGGGAACAAAGCTGTGCTATGAGCAGCCTGAGGTCTCAGAAGGAGGGGCCTTCCCTTTTCTCTCAAGTATACCTGGGGCTGAGGCGACTCCCCCTCTCTGGCTCTCACCCAGTTTTCCTTCTCTCCAGAGGGGGGCAGACTAGATCACTTCCAAAGACTATGTTGACTCCAACATTCTATGATTCCCTTTCCCATCTGTAGAACAGAAACAAGGATTTTTTGCATGTTTTTGTTTTTCTCCCTTTCATATTGTTTCCCCAGAGCCACAGACGAGCTACTCCACAGAATGTAAGGGTAGGAAGGGATTTCCAGGACCAATTAGTCCAAAGGCTGCCTAACAAAGAATCCCCTGGGCTTCAGAAAAAGAATGTAATTGTCCAAGTCCTTGCCTGAAACCCTTCTGGAAGTAAGGACCCACCTCTCCTAAGATAATGCAGCCACCTTTGCCCAGCTCCACAGGTGGGAAAGTTTGATTTGACAACAAGTCTCTGGACCACTTCAACACTTGGCTCCAAGCTCTGCTCTGGGCTGAGCAGAAGAGCCCCTTCCCCTGGAAAGCACTTCAAATACCTGAAGCCAGTACTCATGGATCCCACCCCCCACTGCCATGATACCTTGTGTGAAGAATATGTCAATAAACCTCAAAGCACAATATCAGGCACAGTGAGTTACTATTTTAGTATTTGAATCATTATTATTAAGTCTGATTTTCTACAAGGAAGAGTTCATAGATGCTACTCATAGCACTGGCAGCAGGGCAGGCTGATAAACAGAATGCTGGCTTTGGAAGCAGAGCTCATCCTGGACACTGAGCACCTGGGAAAAGATTGTGGCCCTCTGGGCCCCAAGTTACCTAACTGGAAAATAGGGGACTGGACTAGATCTGACCACCAGCAACAATTTACGAACCACCTATGGTCTGCTAGATACTGTGCTAGGTGCTAAGGAGGCTAAGATAAAAGCCCCACTGTCCTGGCCCTCCAGGAACGGAAAGCTGGTTGAGGCCAACGCCAGCAGGCCCTTCCACCCCTAAGGTGAGGAGTGCTTGGGAGCCTGTCCCCAGGACACCCCATTTAGGGGCGAGAGGTCGGGAGCTGTAAGAGGAAAGGAAACCGATCCAGCATCCCTCCCTCCCCATCATGATTTATTACAAGGCAGGGGAAAGGAGAGGAACCTTCAAAACCCTGAAATCAACTGCTGGGGCTCTCTGAGCATGCTGCTCCTCAGAGAGGGAAAGGGAAGCGTCTGGACTTGGCACTGTCTAGACTTGGCTGGCCCACACTTTCTGCCCCATGAGCCAGCCAGAGGCGATCACGTTAGGATGGCGTAGGTGGAAGAGGAGCCCTGCCACGGCACAAACTTTAACTGGGCAGTTACTCCTGCCTTTGCCCAGTGAGCCAGGCTCCTACGGGGCAGCTGCCCATCCCCACAAGATGGCACCAACAGCAACTGAGCCCTGGAGGAGGCTGTGAGTGTAGGGCTGCACGTACACAGGCTGGGCGGAATGCAAGTTTCCACTCCTTTACATGTGTGTCACCAGCTTGTTCTAGGTAGAATAATGGTGGAGGGAAGCAGCCCCAGCTGAAGTCCTCCAGTAGCGAGTCCATCCTCCCACACCCCATAATACAGCAGTTTGATTCGGATGTCTACAAGCAGCAGGAAGTTAACGGAGCATTGGGAGGACCTCACTCTGTACTCCCCAAGAGTTTAAATTTAGATTTTAATGCAGAGGCAAAATGCCCAATGCAAGCCAGGTCGTAGGGAGTCTAGTTGCTAGGAAAGATGATTGAGCTAAGTAAGATTTTAAAAGCCCATTACCTCTGACAGATTTAAATTATGAGAAAATGCCAAAAAGCCACATAAATGAAGATCAAGTGAAAAGCCAACTGGAATTGGAGGGAAGTCTGATTGCTGCTGGCCCAGTCCAAACAGCAAGTGATTTGGGGCCTGAGGCCCTGGGTCCCAGCCCCAGCTTTGCCCCTTATCTGTGTGACCTGGGCAACTCAGTCAGACAGCTAGAACTAGCTGGCCCTAAGGGTCCTGGCCAGCTCTGAGGCCAGGAGCTTATGACAAGCTAAAAGGGACTTAGCAACCTTCATTTATAGGTAGACAAACTGAGGCCCAGAGGGGTTCAGGTCCTGCCCAAGACACACCTTAAGTAAAGTAGACTAGCCAGGCTTTCCCTATACTGGGCCGCCATTCCACTTGTGAGGAAGATCCCAGAAGTAGCTAGCTAGGGGGCCTCAGGTATAGAGAGCTACCCTGGGAGCCAGACACCTCCCCGGCCTTAAGGCCAGCCAGGCCCCCATCCCTCAGTGCCCTGGGCCAAAGAAAGGGTGGCCCAACCTGCACTTAGCAACTCCAAGTCCCGTCCCAAAGAAATCACATCCCAGTTTCTATCCCAAGTTCTTCCCCTAGGTGCTGTCTTATAAAGGTCAGATTTTTAAGGAATACTAATAGCTCATGCTTCCTTACAGAAGTATAGATTTGGGATTGAAGGGACTTTCAAGGTCATCCAGTGCAACCCTTTCATGGACTTGACGCTGGGTCTTCCTGACATCAGGCCAGTGCTCTAACCACTGAGCAGCCTCCATGTATATGTTGTTTGTAATTTTTTTTTAAAGTCTATCCCCAGAATCTAGCACAGTGCCCATCACAATATGGGAAATGCTAGTTGAACTGAATTGTATCTGACTGCCTTTCTATTAGACACAGTTAAATCTAATACAATAGGTCTTCTAAGTAATCTAGATATGGTGTACAAGCCACATTTGCTTTCCAAAGCCTTGGGGGGTGGGGGCAGGGAAGGGTTAGTAACTGCAGGCTAGCCCTCCCCTCTGAAGTGGAGGGGGAGGCAGGGCAGCAGTTATCCAAAGGTGCTGGGGCTGGACAAGCATTTCCACAAAGAAATGCTGGCCATCAGGGCCTAGGGGCCATATTCCTAGATTCCAGCCTCCAGGTTACAGACCAAGACCTGGTTCCCCAGAAGGGTGGCCTGTGAATCTTCATTCCTAATCTGCAGCCAATTCTGTCTCAAACCCACCGCCAAGCCACCCTTAAAGCCCAAGAGACAAAGGGGCTGCTATCACTTTTCCTGCAGCTTTTCAGAGGCCCCTTTTCCAACTTCAAGGGGACAGATTTGGGGGGACCTAGAGCCTGGGTGATGTTTTCCAAAGGCAAGCCCAGAGCAGCAGCTGAACTCTGGCCTTTCTTGGTTAATGATTGCTAAAACCCACAGAGGCTGAATGCATTAAACACACACACACACACACACACACACACACACACACACACACACACACACACACACAGAATCATTTCAAACTTCAAAAATGACAGTTTGCAATGACTGCACTACCTCCGGGTAGGAGCCAGAGAAGTTGAGCTCAACTCTTCCTACTGTCCAGTTCAAGACCAGATTTTTTCCTCCTCAATAGAGGATCTTCTGGGCCATGAATCTCCTTAGCCAAAGGATGAAAACAGGAGCCTCCTCCCATGGACTTGGGACCCCGGGAAACTCAGCCATCAAGCCCCCCCGAAGTAAAACAACATCAGCTAGGAAGCTGGAAGTGTCCTTCCCTCCCTGAGTCAGCCCTGGAGAACGTGTCCCTTACACACAGGCTTAACTTAGCAGCCCGTTTTCAGCCTCCAGGGTGACCCCCTCACTGGGGAAGTCTGGCCCAAGCAGCTCAGATCCTGGGCAATGGCCTGGCCCCGGCTCCTTCTTGGTTAAAGGTCTTATTTTGGAAAGGTCCTCACCTGGACTCTGCCCAGTCTACTCAGCCCTGAGAGTCCAAGGTGTTTCGCCTGAGCAAACTCCATTACCACAATTTGCCCGAGCCCCAGAGAGTCACTTCACAGGCTTTGACAAAGGATAATAAGTAACATTCCCATGTTCAGGTTCAGATTCTGCCGATTGACTCAATTCAAGATAGTAACAAAGTCACAGGCAGATCCGTAGGAAAAGCCTCCCTCCCTGGGGACTCACTGCCCTCTTCTCCAGAGAACCCCAAGCCGGCTCCGGTCACCTTACCCCGCCCAGCCAGCAGCAGGCCCCGAGTGCCGCTGTACCAGGGCCTGCTTCTCTTTTTCTTATTTAAAGGTAGGCACTGAGAAGAGCGCACCAAAATGAATGATTTACAGAAGTCTGGCAGGAGCTCACTGGAAGCTAAAACGGGACAGGTTCTGCTTTACTTTCCACAGTCGGTTTGTACGGGGGTGACTCCCTTGGGACCCCCGGAATGGTCATATAAGGTCCGCTGTGGGGAGATCACACCGTCTCAGCCCCCTTCATCATCCCTCATCTCTTGGGGGGCAGGGGGAGGCGGAACTTCTGAGACCAGGGAGGGGAAGAGGCTGCCTTAGCCCAGAAACCTTGGGCTGGGGGGACGGTGGAAGGAGTTGACCTTAGGATCCCAGCCTCCAGGACTGCTGAGCAGTGGGCGGGCAGACATCCACTCACCCACTCCCGGAGCCCATGCCTCCTGGGTCCCTGGACTGGCGCCTGGATCCACCTGGGCGGCCCCGCGGACCCCCGGCCCAGGCTCCAAATCCCTCGGATAGAAGACTCTCCGCCCCCCCCCCCGTCCAGAGCCCTCGGGTCCCCCTGCCCTCCAGCCGCCGGACCTGCCGCTGCCCCTCCCGGAGCAGGGGGGTAGAGGAGTGGGCAGATGGGGGGGCAGGGCTCTGGGCCCAGCCTGGCACTCACCCTGCAGGTTCTCCTCGGGCGGGGGCGGGGGCTGCCCGCTCTGCGCCATGGCCCGGGTCTGACGGTTCGGCGGGAAGCCTGGTCTGGCCGGGGCGGCCAGGGGCGGCTGCGGACTGCGGGGGCCCGCGGGGGTCGCCGCGGCAGCGTCTGCCGGTGCTGCTGCTGCAGCGGCCGCCGCTGGGCCGCGGTGACGTCGGAGGGGGCGGGCTGCAGCCGGCGTAGCCTCCGACACTGACCGTGACCCCGACACTGACTACGCCGAGCTCGCCGCGGTCTCGGCCGCACTGCTTGCTCTGGGCTAGGGGCTGCCGGGCCGGGGATTGGCAGAGCGGGGCGGGGCGGACGCGTGGAGGGGGCGGGGCCGGTCACGCGTTCTCCTCCCCCCACCCCCCGCAGCAACTGCGGCGACAACAACAACAACTTCCCCACCCCCACCCCCGCCGCGCGGGGCCGGGTTATTTTAAGCGGCCGCCCCTCCCCCAGGCCTCCCGGGAGCCGGCGGGGCTGGTCGGGGGAGGGGGAGGCAGGTGCGCTCCAGCCTCCAACCCGCGGGGCAGGGCGCAGTGTCTGAAGTTAGCCAGCCCGGCCTTGGATTCTGGAGCCGCCCTGGGGGGAGGCCTTAGACACTCGGGGGCTGCGGGAAGGGGTGTCTCGATAAACCCTGAGGGGTGCCCTTGGACTCGGGGATGGGGACTCTGATAGCACGAGGCTTGGCCCCTAGCCCTTGGAGAGCTCGCGGTCTTACTGGAGGAGGTGGCGTAGGACCTGAGCACCGATCTGCCCGAGGGCGAGCTCCACCGCGCCCCCCAGGCACGGGGGACCGGGAAATGGCCCCTCCCCCTGCTTGTTCCACTGGTCCCAGAGCAAGAGCGTGGGAAGCGAGCCCAGAATGAGATCCTCCCTTTGGCTCAGCCGGGTCTGGGGCTCTTCGAGGCGGAGGAGGAGGGAGGGGGAAGGGCTAGATCAAGCGCTTTCTCAGCTCTCAGATACACTCTGCCAGCATCTATTGGGCACCTGCTGAATGCCATAGAGGTGGGAAATGTCACGTCATGTAACTTTGCACAGACTCCCCGGTCACCTCAGGGCTCAGCTCAAATGCTCCCTCCCTCAGGAAGCCTGTCCCAGATTCCCCTAGTAGCAAATGTATTGGCCCTCTCCAGTGATTTTAAGTCCCTTTGTATCCATCACGGAGCAATGGTCCTTGAGAACCAGCTCGATTTCTGGGCTACTTTTGTGTTCAAAATGTTAAGCTAAACTCAGGTGCACAATAAATGCTTGGTGATGGATTTTGTACCTATCCTGTATTAATTTATCCTTAAACCCAAATCCTTTTGGGGCAGCTAGGTGGCGCAGTGGATAGAGCACCGGCCCTGAAGTCGGGACCTGAGTTCAAATTCGACCTCAGACCAAACACTTGACCCTTACTAGCTATGTGACACTGGGCGAGTCATTTAACCCCCATTGTCTAAAAAAGTAAATAACAACAACAACAAAAACCCAAATCCTCTGGCTCTCATCTATTGGTGATAATAGGTCCCAGGCCAAGCCCTACCTGGTCATTGTTTGGGCCCCAATTGGCCTGAGTGAAGGTAAATGGCCGGAAACCCTGAGGGTTTTCCCCTCTCTGACAGATTCCTTTGCCAAAGCAAACTAGGCTATGGTTTGCGCTGCATCTTGGGTCGTCTCCAGTTGTCCCGATCCATATTTGGGCAATGAGAAAGTGAGGCTGGTGAACCTGCACATTCCTGCTTCCCTCAAATCCAATTCACTTGCATGTCATGGCATCACCTCCACGATGTCATGGTCCTCTTTGAGAACAAAGGACAAACAACTGAATGCCAGGCCTGGGCTAGGTCCTGCCCTCCTGGGACATACAATCTTGCTGGGCTCCTTGTACCCAGAGGAAGGGCTGCCCTGAATCTTCCAGGGGATCAGGGAGGAGAAGGGTGCCCCGGGAGAGGGGACTCTTGCCCACCCCCTGTCCCAGCTCATTCTGCCGGAAGAGGAGACTCGGGAACAAAGATACGCATTGATGAGTTGCTACTCATCAGTTGTTCAGTCATGACCCCACAGACCATACTGTCCATGGGGTTTTCTTGGCAAAGATACTGGATTAAAACATACAGAGGTGAAGAGTCTCAGCAAGTAAGCGTCTGAGGCTGGATTTGATTTTGGGTCTTTCTGACTCCAGACCCAGGGCTCCATCCACTGAGCCGCCTGGCTGCCTCCACTGAGGAATCCAGTTCAATTGATGATATGAGTGTGCAAAACACTTGACTTTCACTTGTGCATTTGGGCCTCACACATACAAACCCCCTGAAAGGTAGTTGTTATCCCCATTTTACATACAGGAAGACTGAAACTGGAAAAGGTCTAGGGACTTGCTTTAGGGTCACATAACAAGTAAATGTCAAAGAAAAGTTTGAACCCTGAACTCCCGGATTAGTCTTCCCTTCACTGTGCCCCCTAAGTTGCCAATTTCCCAAAGAGGAAGCTGGGACCCTGAAACAGAAGGAAAAATTGCCCAAAGGTGTGTGGGGGGATCTAAGGCTGAGCCCCTGAATTTCAATCCATTTCCAAACCCTGCTTCTGCGCACCTCCCCCACCCAGCTGCCTCGGGTTTTGGCTGTAGCATTTGCTGCTTGGGAGATCTCCTCCTGGACCCTGTGGGGATAGCAGTGAGGGGTGAAGAGGGCAAGGTGAAATCTAAGTGGTATTGGGAAACCCCAAGTTGGCTCTTTGCCCCTGGGCCCCTGAGAAGCCTGAGTCTGGGGGAATCTGGGTCTAGCAGTTCACTTTGTAACTGTAGAATCAATCAACTAGCACTTAAGTGATTGCTGTGTACCCTTGAGTGTCCCCCCCTCCCCCCCAGCCCGGCTCTGGTACCTGTGGAGGGATCCAAGAACAAGCTGTCCCCAACTGAAGGGACTTATTTCTTGGGGGAAGCAGGAAGAGGGAGGGTCGGGGGCGGGGACGGGGGTAGGAGGCCGCCTACAAATGAAGAAAGGCTGCATACAAACCACGCATAATAATAAATGCCCCCAGGGACTGACAGCCCAACCGAATGTGGACATGGACTTTGTGAACATAAGAGCAGGGATTGCAGACTTCAAAGGGGACAGGGAGCAGGAGATGGGCATGATGGGTATGAGGGAGCAGGACCACGACCTGGGAAAGGAGCACCAGAAGACAAAGCCTGTGTTTGGAACCTTTGGGATTATGAGGGAAACCAAAGTGCTGCAATGGCCACACCCTTTGAAAAAATTGCACTGATCTGGATTGTATTATCACTCCCACGGCCTTAGGTGAAAGGGGAGGGGGGGGAGCAGGGAGATTGTGGGTGAGTAATTGCTTCTGCCTCCCTGGGTTTGAGGATGGCCACCTGGGGTCCAGCTGGGTTTTCCTTCTCATCCACTACCCTCCCCCATTCCGAATGTAGAATTCCCTTTAACAATAGCTAGCAGATGCCACCTCTAAGAAACATCCCCCACCCCAACTCTGCCAGAACCCTCAGCTCCAGCTAAACTGTCCTTCCTGTCTCCAGGCCTTTGCACTGGCTGTGCCTCCCCCTACCTCAAGCCTTATTTTACCAAGAGCTCTCTCTCCTCCCATCTTCATTTCTGCCTCACTGCTCTCATCACTCACTCCACACAGTGAAAAAAGCTCTGGGCCTGGAGTCGGTTCACATACGGATGCGTGTATGACCCTGGAATAGGTCACTTAACTTCCGTTTCTCTGAGTTTCCTCCATTGCAAAATGGGGGCAATAACAGTATCTACCTCACAGAGTCGTTGTGAAGTTCAAAGGAGATATTTCTAAAGTGCTTAGTGCCGTGCTTGCCATGTAGTAGGTGTTATATAAATGCTTATTCAGTATCAAATTGAGCTTCCTAAAAGGCAGTTCTGATTATCTCACAACTCCCCCCCCAGTTTGCCCAAGTTATCTATTATTTCCTATTAATAGAAGTTGAGGGAGGTCACCTAGAAGGTACCTCAGGTCTCTTCCAACGATGGAGCCTGTGGAAACCTGTGACAGGGGCAACTATAGAAAGCCATTGCCAGAGGAGCAGATTGACTCAAGACAAGTCGCTGCTCATCTTGAGTGAAAGAAGATCCAGGCTCTCAGTGGAGTCAAGCCTAAATGCTCCTTTTATTTCAGTGGACACATTTTAGCAGGAATCACTGTGAGTGAACCTGGCATTGCTCGGGCCCAGATGACTCATGTCAGTGGACCTCCAGTCACGTGGCAGTGGGTGCTGACTCCAGTGGCATGGATTCTAGTGTCACCCTTGCCCATTTATTTCTCCAAATCACAGGATTTTACCTAAAAGGGTGGCTTTGAGGTCTTTAGTTGGAAGCCTTTATTTAATAGCTGAAGACATGGAGGCTCAGAAAGGAACCACAGTAAGCCTGAAGTCATCTGGTTAGGAAATGTAAAAGCTAGGATTGGAACCTTTATCTGCTTCCTCCAGGGTCCCCTCTGAAAGCTTTCCTTTAATAAGAAGTCCCTTTTCCAAGGCAAAGGTATGTATGTATTTAAATCAAGGATAAAGCTGAACACTTGGACCCTAAAATGTAGGATTTCCTCATTTCTCTACTTCATTTTGACAAAAGATTTATCAAGCCCTTCTCTGTGTAAGACTCTTTTTAGTCATAGAAGAAAAGGACACACTTTATTTTATTTTTAATTTTTTTAGCTTTTGAGTTTTACATTTTTCTCCTCCTCCCTCCCCACCTCCCTTCCCAAGACAGTGCACAATCTGATACAGGCTATATATATATATATATATATATATATATATATATATATATATATATATATATATATATATACATTCCTATTAAACATATTTTCACATTAGTGATGTTATAAGTAAGAATTAGTACCAATAGGAGGAACCACCAGAAAAAGGAAACAAAAGACAACAGAAGAAAAAAAATAGCAAATAGTATGCTTCGATCTGCATTCAAATTCCATAGTTCTTTCTTGGATGTGGATAGCATTTTCCATCATGAGGCCTTTGGAGACGTCTTAGATCCTTGTATTGCTGAGAAGGGTTACGTTTATCAATATTAGTCATTGCACAACATGGTTGTTATTGTGTACAACATTCTCCTGGCTCTGCTCACTTCACTCAGCATCAGACCATACAAATCTTTTCAGGTTTTTTCTGAAGTCAGCCTGTTCATCATTTTTTATAGCACAATAGTATTCCATTACATTCATATACCATAGCTTGCTCAGCCATTCCCCCAACTGATGAGTATCCCTTCAATTTCCAATTCTTTGCCACCATAGAA